TATGCTTTGTACTCTTCTCCTGCTGAAAGCCCTGAAAACAGAATTGAGCAGAATTCTTTTTATTTTTTCCAATTTTTCATTTAAAAATGAAAACTGATTGACCTAAGAAGCAGCCTGGGACAATTTAATCATAACTTTTTTTTTTTTTTTCACGTGAAGCTTCTTTCTTGTCATTCTTCATTTTGTAAGGTTTTTTCCCACTTGTTCAGAATCATTTCGGTCACCTGTTGCAACAGCCTTAGATCACTTTGCAGCTTATCTTGCTGAGCTTTCTTTTTTTCTCCTCTTCCAGTGCAATTTTTGCAAAGGTGTGAAAATAAAAGTGGAATTAAACTAAACCAAAAATTGCTTGTTATATAAAGGTGAGTTTCTTTTATACCCTTCTTGACAGGCTGTCTTTAAAATAAACTCTTACAGGGTTGCTATAAAAAGTAAACCAGTTATTCTAAATAGTGTCCTAGCACGGCTATTTAGTTATGTCTGCTTATTAGCTCTGGTCAAAAACTTTCTTTTAATTTTCATTTTTTTAAATAAATCTTACCAGTCTATAAACTGATTAGAAAGTACAGAGAAAAACTGTGAACCTTAAAAAATGGATTTTGATTTCTTTTAAGCTCTGCTACCTACTAAAAATGCATATGTAGGGATTTTGCTGTCATCAGTAGTACCTGAGTAGCTCATCATACCTGAGATTAAATAAGAAAATAAAATCCTTACAGTTTCATGAGCAAGTCTGGCTGTACAGTTCTTCCACAACTTTTTGCTGAGTACATGGCATTCAGTATCTACTACATCCAAGATGAGATAGAAAACAGAACCAGTGATCTCCTGAAAACAAAAAAAGAAAGGGTAATTTCCCAGTTTTGTATAAAACAAGGTTGGGACACATAAAAGGGAGAGATGGAGAAACACAAAACACACAGGTAGGACACAGATGTCCTGAAAACTGAACATTCTGTGGGACAAGTTCTCAATGGTGGCAAATCAGGTGAGATTCAGGCCCTGTTAGAACAGGCTTGCTCATGCATCTAGCCAACTTTAATTAAAGAACAGCCTTTTAGAGTCAGTTTTATCCTTCTGGTTCCGGTACTGACCAGAACCCAAGAATAAGGAGTAAACATGGTGATGTTTTCATTGTCAATTGCATTTTATGATTAGGTTTGAAAGGTGGGTTATTTTGCCTTCAATAAGAATGAGATGACAAATATCACAAATAAAAAAACCTGCTAACATGGAACATTCCCAGTAGGCATTAGAAACAGCAATATCTTCTTAGTGTCTTCCTCAAGTATGGATGCTTTGCACTTGTCGTAAAAGAGGCAATGACTGCATTGATGGTGACAACTTAAATATTCTCTCAGATATCAGAAAGTGCTATGAGTGACCTTGCATATCTACATGGATGCCACTCAAAGCTTCAGTCCAGTGCTTGAGTTCTGAGCCTGTGCTTAAGTCTAGAAACCTTTACTGTATATACTTGTAAATATAATACTGAACTCATTAAATATAAAAGAGCAAAATAAATAGAAAATAAATATAAAGAATGAGTAAATTGTTTTGTTAGCTTTGTCTCTAAGTTATATTCTTACATATACAACTTACCATTTTTTGTATTTTCATGTCCTCTTTTTTCCCCTAAGTGTTCTATGAAGTAATCTGGTAATGCCTTGCACTGAGCTCTCAGGGTTTGCCTACACTAATCCTGAGGTTTAATTATAAGTGTCATTTTGAAGGTCATGAAAAGATCCAAAGCTATTTTAACAAAGAGTGAAGCTGAGGTGCAGCAGCACTATGTACAGTGGCATGGCAGTACCCCCACACCTGGCTGCACAGATCCTTCTGCAGAAGGATCTAATCATAATTTAGATTCTGGTTACATACAAGGTACCTAAATACCATGATGATATGTCTCCTTAATATGATAGCTGATATAGGTTAAATTAGTAAACAGAAAGTGAGACTGGTCAAAGAGTAATTGCCATTTGCTGAAAAAGTGGGTTTTGAGTAGTGCAGAATTTGGTATGAGCTTGTAACTTTAAATATATCCTCTATGAGAAAGAAACATCACTAAGACTATCCTGCATGAAGAAGTAATAGCCAAGAAAAATGTGTATCTTTAAAGAGTCCCAAAGTTTGGACTGGTGACTTGAGCTTTCAAGTTGGTTGTTTAGGTATTCTGGTAGCAAAAGCACACACACATCTCATTAAAGAAATGTTCTTGTAATCAAATGTGATTGATGTTAGATGGGTTTACTCAGCTGAATCATGAAGACTGATTGTAAAGCCTGGTGATCTTGGAAACACTAAATGCAACCAGGGTGGACCAAACTGTATTTCCTGTTGCCTGTAGCTCTCTTGTATAATATCAGCTCTAATATACAGATGAAGTTATTATAAAATCTACACATCTTTTTGTCTACCTGCTTCTGTATGTATCATCCTCCACTGGGGAAAGGATAATTTGAGGTTTATTCAAAGCTCAGCAGATCTCCAAAGGTTTCATCATCCTTATTTTAATTTTCATTAAAAGACTATTATGCAAAGGCCTTTTGATATCTGCTTAGTATTCAATAAAAACTTCTATCTTTTCTGCATTGCCAAAAAGATCCCTTCCTCAGTGATGCCGATGCTAGGATTGCTGCTGCAACGCGTGCTGGGGAGCCTGGGAGCCAGAAGAAATGCAGCACGAGTGCAGCATCACCTTTGTGGCAGGGTGACCTGGGGCAAGGGAAAGAAATGAAATATTTTGGCATGTTTTGTAATTTTGGTTAAGTGCCTGTCAGTGAAGTTAATCATGAGTATCTTGTATGAAAGAAAGGCTCTGTCCTACTTGCATATAAGTTAATAGCAGATGGCTCATTAGTTTCAATTAGAGCAAAACTGAACCACAGGTTGCTTAAGGGCAGAATTGAATTTGAAGTAACTTTGGAAATGTTTTTATCTTGAGTATTGGTTAAAAAAGTGGGAGGAAGGATCACTGACTGATAAAAAAAAAAATTTTTTTTGAGGGGAATAGAAAGTTGCATAAGGTTGTTACTGTCCATGGACATCTCTGACATAGCTGACTGCTTCTTATGTACTCTGTTTCAGCAGCAGCAAAAATGTGACAAACAGCTTGTCTAATTTGTTATTGCAGTGTCTTGAAGCACCTTATTTACAGGATAAGCATATTAGATGCAAAAAATAAGAATAAAAGCAAATTAAACCCCCAAATGAACAAAGAGCAAAGTACGCCCTAAGGCAATAAGAAAAGTGTCTAGGGAATTAAGTGACAGACCACATCACAAACAAGGACCAAAATTCTCCTGTGCTGAGATACACTTGGCACAGATGAAGGGAGAAGCAGGAAGAGGAATGAAGCGATTTACAAGATGTCTGCACCCACAATGCTACATGCTGGGGTGGTCACAGGGATGCGCTAATTATCGTCCGTAGAAAATAGCTCCAGGGTGGGACTTGACTGGTGATGTGGGTTCTGGGCCAGCTCAGAGGCATCCCGTGTGGGAAAAATTCTCAAGAGACCTGATCCAGTTGCTTAGTGGGCACATTCTGCCACTTGAGCAAAGCAATATATAGAACATACTGCAAAGCACAGCACAGTCTGCATCTTCAGTGGTGAGATGTCAGGTTGCTGGAGCCCACAGCGTGTCTGCAGAAACTATATCCTTGGGATAGTAGCAGGAAGTAGTGTCATATCCTTGGTGTACAGATCTTTAAACATCTGGCAATGAGCCTGATTTTCTTTAAGGATTCAGAACTCAGCCTTTCAGGTAGGATTATGGAAAGTGAGCAAACATGGCAGGAAATGTTAGTAGCATGCTTCCACAGTGCCTGACGTGTTGTGGGCCTTGTGCAGTCATTTCAGGTTGTCCCTGGCTAGTGCCAACAGATTCAGCTAATGTAACAGAAAATAGTAATAAATTAATCACACATAGAGAAATAAGATACTTGAGGATTGAGAGTGATATTCCATAGGTATTTCCAGTGTAATTTTTGCACTTGAACTGGTTTTGGATTTCTTCTGGAGAATGAGTCATCATTTAGAGGTCTGTGAAGGAATCCCCCGGTCCCAAGCTGGACGTGTTTATACTTGTTAGTGCTTACACCTTTTGTGCAAAGCGCACGATGACTTAATAGCCTTTGCAGTCCAACTGCTCAAGGCAGTGGGAGGAAGGTGTAAAATGAAATTAAATCAGAGTAGTGGTGTTTCATACCAAATTTGAACTGATGCCTGGAGCTATTCCAGTGGCAGGCAGCAGAGAATTGTGACTGAGATTTGCTATCTAATTGCCCTCAGTGGTGATGAAACTGTTTCTAGTCATCTGTGCGTAACATTGACACAGCCTCTGGAGTCCTGTGAATGTAACTTTACATTTGCCTTTTGAAATATTTCTTAGTTCAAATAGATATTGCTAGGGAATAGTGGTAGACACAGGGCTCTTCATAAGAGAAACAGATACAGAACAAGCAGATAACTTACCTGAGGATATTCTCGGACACTGAAAATTCGGTAGAGACTGAGTATGTAGCCCTCTTTTCGGTCAGCATTGATCTGGCGAAGAGCCAGATCTGCAGCCTCCTCTACTGCAGTGTCATCACAGGTTGGGGAAAGCAATGCAGTCGTCGCTTCTCTGGCAGGAGGAGAGGCAGCCCAGGAGCAAAGCGCCTGTATGCCAAAGAGCACTGAAACAAGTAAAACCATTCTGCTTCGAAAAAAAGTGCAGCAGATCAGAATGGTAAGGCAGTATGGAGGGGTTGACTTGCATGAAATTGCAGATTTCTGTAGTGGAGCCGTGTCTCTTTTTAATTAGTGTCCCCTTTTTACTACATACTGACCATCACCTTTAAACCTACAACTGCAACAGCAAACACAAAGTCAATGATTACAAGGTTTTATGAAAGTGGTGTCACTCCCTCTGAGACCAGAGAGCACTTTCTCCTTCTGGCTTTACTTCACTGGGCAGATCGTATAACTTTGACCTCATCACAAGGGACAAGAATATACACACAAACCTGCTTTCTTAAGAAACTATAATTGCTTAAATAAACCTACATGCAGGACAGGTCTGGCTCTACCTCTGTTCTGTTGGTGATCCAGTTCTCCCAAATAAGACAATGACAAAGCTCTGAGTAATTTGGGTGGGAACTGCATGAGGGCCACAAGGTTGACCGATTTTACACTTTGTATTTGTTAAATGCTAGTTGTAAACAAACATACTGACTATTATGTGCAGTCAGTTTGGTTGGGATAGAAAGCTGGGTTTGGATTCATTCTTCGAGCATTTCTACTCAGGTGGATACCTACAGATGAAGCCAAGCCAGCAAAATGCAGTTCATCTCTGGGCAAGAAGCCTGTGTTTAACTGGCCTGCTCAAGCTGTTAAGTACTCTTAGATAACATGATAACAAGGCATTGTAAAGAATTAACGGTTTCATCTTGGTGTCTGCTCTTAAGCAGAAATTTCCATTGTGTTTATTTGGGACTTAACCTTTACTGCAATTGAATATAGTAGCATAGATGTGGTAAGTTTTGTTGTTTCCTCAAAGACTTCACTTCTGTTGCTGTGATGGTGCAAAATGAGATGCTGTGAGATGTTGGAAGAAATAGACAATAAGTGTCTATTACAAGGGCTATCAAAATGGTCTCAGGCTATTGAAGCCTCCATTTCAGGATTTGTTCCCTCTCAATGCCTTGACTCCAGACCACTTATCTTTTGTTGCCTAAAAATCAATTTATTACACCTACCAGATATTTCACACACACCCCTGATTTCCCTGAACCCTGAACATTTCCTATTTCATCCCATCTTCCCCCAAACCTCTGACTTTGTTCTCACTGTCACATTGTGCAAAGTACTCTGAACTTGTCATCATTAAACATTGCTTCTGATGCCAAAGGGCAAGTCTTGTTTCCTTTTTATCTTCTCCCATCTTAACTTTTTGGCTGCACTTGGTTTCAGCCTCTAGGCAATGCCTAGCTTTATATTCCTGTGGGTTTAGAGGCAGGTGCAGTTGCATATGAACTCCACCACTAATTATAACATGCTGCTGCATTCTTATTGCCTGAGAACCAAACTTAGTGATGAAATAAGAACAATCTGAAATTATATGCTGGGGGGTGGTGCGGGGAAGGTGGCCTGTAAGAAAGTTACGGACCTGGGGCTGATTACGCTCATCGTGTTGCCAAAGTTCTGAAGGGGGAATCTAGCAGAAAGAACTTTTTAAAGAAGAGAGAGCGTGTAATGTAAACGGGAGGGTGAACTGCCTTTTTTTGACTTCTTGTAGCTGGTGACTTCCTCTTTATGCTACCTCTTGCTCTTTTCTGCCCGTAAATTATTCTTTTTGTACTTTGAATTGAGGAAAATGTACATCCAGTTGTTTCTTTGCCAGTTCACATCACCTTGCATAGCTCTCCCAGATTTAGTCTAGACTTCTCTGTGAGCTGCAGCTACTTATCCCATAACTGCCTCTTGGCAGTCTTGGATGATTTAGGAGCTTAGTTTTCTATCATCTTGTTCAGTGTTACTGTCTCCCTTATACTGTATGGTCAGAATGGCTCAAGGAAAAGAGTCGCACCTGCTTAATCTTTAACCACTACCACAGCCTACCCCAGCTTAAACTGTAGGAAGCCATAGGAGAATCATAAGGACATTGGTCCAGCAATGTCACTATTTTAATTATTTTAGCACTACTTAGTGCTCTGCTTTCATTCCTTTTCAGCAACAATAAATAACCCAGTCCTGATGTGACTGGAGACTGTGACCTGGGGGCGAGGGGGAGGTCATTCACTGACTCAGCTGCTCCCCACATAGATTCACAGAGCACACGCTATCTGTGCAGGTTTATTCGTACCTTGGATTTATCCCCTCACTGCTGAATATGGACGTTGATTTGCCAGCCAAGAGACTGCACTGTGGTCACTATTGCTTCTCAAGTGATTTGCTGAGTACAGATGAAAAAGGGTCATGGAAAATTCTGCATGGAGAAACTTCAGTTTGAAATGACAGCGGTGTGCCTTGGGGCTAACCTGTCAGGAACTCCAGGCTGGAGACAGAGGGGGAATAGCTGCACAAGTAGCTGTTATCTTGAAGATCTGGAGAAGTGACAACCACCATTACTTGGGGAGCATCCCAGTGAAAGTCATTGGTTTTCTACTAAGGGGCAATTCTGCAGTATTTCCACCTTGAAGGATACCAGAAGCTGGTAACCTTTTCCCTGGCCCTCATTTTCTGTCATGGGAGTCACTGTAATCACAGCTATCTGCCGGATGATACCGAGTACATTTAGGTTTGAGGGTTGCCTCTGTATTGAGTGAGGAAGGAAAAGTTCAAGTGAAGGACATAATTGTCTCTAATACTACTGTAATGTTTGGGGGACAGTTAAAATTTTATATATTGTCACTTTTTTTTACTGGTGATATAAAGAATCTCATCTCTTTAGCCCAGCAGTGCTCAAAGCATGTTTCTCTGGTAGACAGCAGAGCCTGTCCCAGGGAATGTCCATTGAAAGCTGGGTGGGATTATATGTACAGCCAAGAAGCCCTGCAACAGCACTGGGGCTGAAACTCTTCTAAGAAGACTTTGGCTGGTGACAGAGGTGGAAAACTCAGATAGCAGGACAGAAGGGGCACACGGCTGCTAGACTGAGCCACCTCATGTGTCACCCATTGGTTTGCAAACTCAGGGTGAGGGATAATGTCTGGACTGTATCCTGGAGGGAAGGGATACAAGGGATGAATGTTGAGAAACACTGCTGTAGCCATAGTACAGGAAGAGCAGAAGCAGCAATGCAGACTAGCTCACATTGTTTCTTGTGCCTGGGAATGCTTCCCCTGCAGCTAAAGGATAATAACTCATTTTCTTTATCCTTACAGTACATGGCATTTCTATGGAGATGGGTGCCAGTTAGTACTGGCTGTGTCGGTGCCTCTTATAATGGGGAATTGTTATAGCCCTGACTCTGTTCTTTGTACTCTTCCTCCCACTGGAAAGGAAAAAATTTCTCTGTTGAATTAGCTGACCTCAAAACATGGACGCAGCTGGGAAATCTGAGCATGTCCAGCCAAAGCAGCACATGAAATACATATGCTTTAGCAAAACAGGGTTTGAAAAAACTGAAAAACATTGTCAGCCAGTGATGCAGACCTGACAAAACTATTCATGCTGCATTTCAGGGAAGGAGGCATTTGTATTTTATGTATTGCCATTTCGTAGAACTCGTTGCCCAGAGAATCTATTTCTAAATACTGAATCTGTTACTAAGGTCCAGTTGCCTGAATATGGGGCCATACTGGGGGGAGACAAAGTGAGTGGCTCAAAGCAGTCATGGAAAATGTATCCTGAAGTAGGCAAAATGTGTCCTTCAGAGGGGATGTGTTAAGGAGAAAGAAGATGAGATGAAGCTACTAACTGGAATCACGAAAGAGCAGAGAGCAATTCTGCTTTTTTTTCCTCCTGCTTTAGGAAACAATGGAGTAGTTAGGCCAGGTGTAGGAGAACATCTGTGAAGTGTGGAGACTGCAGATGTTCTGCTACATATCCTTGCTCTGTGTGGTTGGAAAACGCAACAAGAAAATGCAGTGTTTCTGGAGTTCAGAGATCCCCATGGGCAGGCATCCCTTTTATAAACATACCACTTCTGCCATCAGATAGAGAATTTTCTAAGCCTGGAAAACACTGTCTCTTCTACAACTTAGTGCCCACTTCATTATATACAAGACAATTTGTATGGTTTAATTGAGGTGATTCCTAGTTTTAAAAATACAAAAGCTAGGAAAACTAATTGCTCCAGGTGAATTAAAACTCAGTCTCATGTATCTGATGTTACAGTAATGCAGATCATAATAGTAGTCATTTCATTAAATCCTGGACTGTGTTTCGTGCAGTGGGATGGGAGGACCACCCACCTTACCACATTAAGAAATTTATACAGCTTAATACTAACACTTTTTAAATGAATGGCTGCATGCAGGATATACTGCATTCACTGCTTTACAGAGAAGCAAAAAATCACTGAGCAAGTGACAACAGTAGCTTGTGCAATTGCCTGCAACACACTTCCTGCAAGAACTCAGCATATTCTTGAAAAGTGAGAGCTGTTGCCTTCATGGGGAGAGCTTGTCGGCAGTGTGTTGCCATCACATTGTACTATGGCTTACAGAGTCTGGGCTGATTTCCCTTTTTCTTTCCCCTCCACACACCCAGTTGAAGCACTCGTGCAAGGGCGTACGGCTTTTCCTTTCCTCACTGACACAGCAGAGCAGAAACCTTCTCTATAGCAACCTGTTGCACTGTCACCAAGAACAAATGTTAGTTGTGTTGCTTGCTGAATACTGGAAGGTTGTAACTAAGAGAACAGGGTAGGTTATTTGAAACAGTTCAGAAATGACATGTGTTCTGCAGCTTTTGCTGCCTGCATGATAATTATCTTGTAGCAAGTGCTGTTCCTGGTTAAAGATTAATGACTGTCTTTGAGACTGCTCCCCCGGGTCTGCAGAATTCCAGTCTGCCTGGCAGCAAAGATCCTTCTGGCCCCTGTGCCTTGTTACTTCTCTACCTAGAATAGATTTTGCCTCTAATGTGTCAGAAATTCGGGGAAGATTTGACTGCTAGGACAATGGTAAATTACCATCACTGTCTGGGTCCTATTATATGAGATACATGTCTGTAGTATATTTTTATTCCCTTGAATTGGTATTGCCTCATATGTACACAGGCCATACAGAACCCCATGATCATATTGTACCTGT